TAACCCCTGTCAAACGTTTTATTTATGACAAAACCATTGCACAGGGTGGGCATTTTCTCTGAACAACTTGCATTACATCACTTATGCATTACATAGTCCTCACTCCCACATGGTGCTGCACTCTGTGATGTTGTACACTACCTAATCATGCCCACCGCACTGAAAAAAATTATGTTTCGTGTTTTAAAGTCCTAAGCATCCTGTTCATTGTTGTAATAGTTGGTGGTTTCAATGATGTTGCTTTGGGTAGACTCAGACAAAGCGTCAGCTTTCTAAATGCAGATAAGTATATGTCATGGGAAAGTTTAATATTCTTTAATAATTATTCTTTCACTTGCAGTTAATAAGTGTTTATGACCCTGGCTCATTAATTAGGGACACTGTGCCATAGTGACAGTGGTATGGGTGTAATGTATTCAGCAAGCAGGCACAGGTTCTGTTTGTTCGCTCTTCTTTAAAGTATTGCTAAAGGCAATTTTTTCCCCATTTTGAATAGAGTAAGGGAGTGTTATAACCGCTGTAATTTTTTTCTTTTTTTAATTTGGTCATCTGTGTCCTGTTGGGGAAATTTCCCTTAATTTCCTGTTCCAAACAGGAAGTATGATGAAATCCCTGGTTGTCATCAGAACTAGTGTCCACATTGGAAGATTTTTCCTCTATTCCTGTTCTGGGGAAAACTCAAAATCTGGCATTGTTACCTTCACTTTTGCTGATAACAGTAAACAGGACAAATAGGGTAATTCTCCCTAACAGGCTCACAGACTGCAGTAAAAACTGACAGGTGTTCTAATCTGCCAGCAGTTGATCCACATTTTGCCTTTAGTTATACATGGTCATTCATGTTGTTAGGTGCAACTTGGCAATGCCCACCATTCACCGTAGTGCACTACATGTGCCTAAGAACAATCTTACTTATCCCTCATTGTGCCCCAAGTCTACCACAGTCCTAGCATCACCCCAGCGTACATAATCCCATGTTTTATCACTTTAAATACACTGCAGAGACAGAAAAATACCATTTGCCCTACCATAAATGCACTCAGCTCAAATATCCACCTTATAAAAGGCTAATCATTCTATAGTCCACGAGAACTAAAGCCAGCCATATGGTTCAGCAGCCAATAGATCAGCTTCTGTACATCAAGCCTGTTGTGTTTTTGTTTTCTTACGATCACTGTTGCTAGTTATAGCCACCAGCAGTAATCATTGTAATTCGACAATGGGAGGAATTCTCTCATTAACACTTCCTCTGTTGATGGGGAAATAAAGCAAATTTTCTTTCAAGAGCAAAGAAAGTGTGCAGAGGGCACAGGACAGCTCTGAATTTCTGAAAAGATTACTTTTTTTTTTTTTAATACACTTATCCAACAAAATGCTTCCCATTGTAGATTAAATAGACCAAAAAAGGGAGCAGCACATATATGAAGTTCATCGATACGGTTTACATAACCTTTAACCGCCTCCCACCCTATAAGACAGATCTCTTGTTCTGCGAGGACGTCTATGACATCCTCCCACTCTAACCAAAAATGGGCACTGAGCGGTGATGGGCTGTGTCCCTGGGGACACAGCAGATCACCGATCAGCAGAAAGAGCCAATGACTTCGGCTCTGTCCTGTGATCAGCTGTGTCCAATCACAGCTGATTGCATGTAAATAAGGAAATGCCAGTGATCAGCGTTTCTCTCCTCATAATCTATCATGGACTAGAGGCGGTAATTGGCATTCCTCAGAGGGGAAATCTACACTTATCAGGGTACAGATGATCAGTGTAGTCCCATCAGTGCCACCTGTCAGTGTTTAACAATGCCACATATCAGTGCCTACCCATGCACATCAATGCTGCAGTGCCCATCAGTGCCACTAATCTGTTCATCAGTGCCATAAATGAGTACTGCCTTTCACTGCCCACAAGTGATGTCTGTCAATGCCCATCAGTGCAGCCTCAATAGCACACATTGGTGAAGGAGAAAAATTACTCATTTACAAAAATTTTATAACCGAAACCAAGGGGGGTGGAAAAAAAAAAAAAAAAAAAAAAAATTTACACAAAATCGGGGCTATGGACAAGGAAAGATCTCACAATCATGCACATCACAAATGATTTGGTGTAGACAAAACCCTGTGCATCTCCAGCCAAAAGATGGCATATTCTGGCTTTAGGCATTCATGGTGTGACCCTACTAATTGTCATGATTTTTAGAGTTTTTTTCCTCCAATGTAAGAAAGTGCTGTAGAATAGCCAGAGTCAGCCACAGAAAACCAAAACAAAAAAAAGCGGCTTTACAATTTAAACAAAAAAAAAAAAAAAAAAAAATGAATATAGACATACACCACATTGCCAAAAGTATTGGGACACCCCTCCAAATCATTGGATTCAGCTCTTCCAATCACCTCCATGGCCACAAATTTCTAAACTATCAAGCACCTAGGCATGCAGACTGCTTCTACAAAGAATGGGCTGCTCACAGCTCAGCGAAGTCAAGTGTGGTACCGTGATAGGTTGCCACCTGTAAAATAAGTCCATCTGACATTTCCTTGCTAAATATTTCAGTCAATGGTTAGTGGTATTATAACAAAGTGGAAGCGACTGGGAACAGCAACTCAGCCACCAAGTGGTAGGCCACATAAAATAACAGAGCGGGGCCAGTGCATGCAGAAGTCACCAAATGCAGAATCAATAGCTAAAGACCTCCAAAAACTGTGTGGGCTTCAGTTTAGCACAACAATGCATAGAGAGCTTCATGGATTGGGTTTCCATGGCCAAGCAGCTGCATCCAAGCCTTACATCACCAAGTGCAATACAAAGCATCGGTGTAAAGCATGCCACCACTGTACTAAAGCAGTGGAGATGTGTTTCCTGGAGCGATGAATCACGCTTCTCTGTTTGGCAATCTGATGGCTGTGTCTGGCAGTTACCAGGAGACCAGTACTTGCTGGAGTGCATTGTGCAAAATTTGGTGGAGGATTGTGATGTGGTGTTTTTCAGGGGTTGGGCTTGGCCCTTTAGTTCCAATGAAGGGAACGCTTAAGGCGTCAGTGTACCAATACATTTTGGACAATTTCATGCTCCCAACTTTGTGGGAACAGTTTGGGGATGTCCTACACACTGTTGTAGTAATCTGAAGGTCACACTAAATTTGGAGGTCTTTGTGCAGAAGTCACCAACTGTTTGCAGAGTCACTGTGTGCTTCAGCATGCCCTGACCCTGCTTTGTCATTTTACATGGCCTATCATTTTGTGACCAAGTTGCTGTTCCCAGTTGCTTCCACTTTGTTATAATACCACTAACAGTTGAATGTGGAATATTTAGTAACAAGGAAAATTTAATGGATGGACTTATTGCACAGGTGACAACCTATCACGGTACCACGCATGAATTCACTGAACTCCTGAGAGGGACCCATTCTTTCACAAATGTTTGTAGAAGCAGTCTGCATGCCTAGGGGCTTGATTTTATTCATCTGTGGCCATGGAGGTGATTGGAAGACCTGAATCTAATGGATTTGGAAGGGTGTCCCAATACTTTTGGCAATATAGTGTATAATGTGGGCTACTTTTAGCCATACCCAAATGTATCCTATACATGCTTCAGGATTGATGCATTCAGAGAGATAGGACCACACTACACATGGGGGCCTTGACGAGGCAGTGTGACCTCCATATATATTTGCAAAAGTTGTACCAATAAAAACACGGTTTATAAACACAATTTATACAGGGTGTTTTCCGGTTTTGGAATTTTTGTATTGCATTTGTTTGGTTATACAAAGAAAATCTATTTTCACCACAGGCTTGAACGTTAATGTTAATTTGGAGAGTGAAGTTCCAATTTTAACTATTTTTAACCCTTATGCTGCTAGAAGTAAATGATACTTCTCCATCTATTTACAGTTTTAAAATTTAACAGTTCAGTCGCTTCCTGCTTTCCAAGCCAAGGCAAATTATGTCACAACTCAGGAGGGGGATTTCTCAGCCAAGCACACCCTCCTGCCTGAGCTAAGGGCAGATTGATACCAGGAAGAAAAAAAGTGGGTGTGTTAACCCCCCCGTGTCTTTTTTTTCAAACCAGATTAACTAGAACATAAATCTGCTTTAAGTCAAGATGGTCACGATCGGAAAGGTTTAGGGGGAATGTTTTGCAAAGTGATCTCAGCAAACAAAGCATGGAGAGATGGATAGGTGAGCTTCCTCCGAATAAAAAAATAAAAAATAATACAGAGGTTAGTTTGTGGCGCTCACACAGTGTAGTTCCACTTTAAATTCTTCTCTGCCATAGGAGGCCATTCGATTTTGAGTTGTGGAATCACACTGCCACCTGGTGGGCAAAGCTTTCTTCTTGTTCCAAGGAGAACTTTTCCCATTACTTTCTAGGTTAGTGACAATAGTGCAGCAGGGAAAAAAAAAATAAATTCCTGGTACAAAGCATTAAAAAAAAAATATAAAATAAAGTAGTGACAGTTATTTGCAAATGGGGAGAAAATTTTTTTATTATATTATATATATATATATATATATATATATATATATATATATATTAAAAAAAAAGGGAAGAAATGAAGTTAAAAAAAAACCACACAACTTCAATGTCTCAAACATGACATGGAATTTTATTGTGACAATATACTGCAAGTGCTTAGTTCACAACAGAGTAATATGTCACTTTATGCACGGAAATGCTACCTTAGTACAACTACCATAATGGGATAGATGGTGGTCTTTATTACAGTGTTCACTCTTCTACTTGGACATCATTCAATCTCTGAAAGCTATAATAAAGATTTTAGCAGTAAGGCAAATCTTTTATAGAACACAGCCAAACAAGACCATCACAAAATAGAAAACAGTAGCTTTTAGTTAAGTAAAAGGATTAGTATAGACTAGAAATTATACTGTCCTACTGAGAGAATAATTGACATAACTGCTGACTTCACATTTCTTGGTGTATAAAATCCACACTTTGAAAGCAGAACTGCAGAGAGGGTACAACGGTCAGGATTCTTAAGAATTCTTCTGTGGGATTTTAATGGTCACCTGCAAGATGGGGGAAAAAAAAAAAAAAAAAAAAAAAAAAAAAAAAAAAAAAAAAGGGTTTAGTTTGGCTTTTTTGGGGCCTTTTTAAAAGCATATTTTGGGTAATTTTTTAAAAAAAAACATTTTGCTGTTTTTTTTTCAACACAATTTGAGAAAAAAAAAATTTAGCGATTTTAAATTTATATGTGCATTTTGATGCTTTAACATGTATTTTGGCTAATTTACCTGTTTGTGTGTTTTGGAAACGCATGCAAAATGCATGCCATTTTTGCAGTGCCATGATTTGTTAATGGCACCCAAAAGTGGCTAGCGGATGTGCAGTGTGCCAATATGTATAAAAACCAAAATAAAAATGCACTTTAAAAAGTGCCAAAAACATGGGCTAAGAAAAGTGCCAAAATGTGTGTTACAAACCACACACCAAAATGCATGTTAAAATAAGCAGTGCAAAAATGAGCATTAAAGCACCTAAATGTGCTTAGAAAAGCACTAAAATGCACATAAAAACCCACAGCAAAATGTGTGTTTAAAAAATACACCATGTTAAAAAGCGGCAAAATGCACATAAATGCTAAAATGAGCAATAAAAAAAAAAAAACAAAATACACGTTAAAGTACCAGTGCTTAAAAAGACCATGTAATTACATGAATACAACTTTGGTTTCACAGTTTAAACTCTGATGATCTGCATGTGATCTCCTGAGATAGTGTGATTACAAATCACTCTCAGATCACATGCAGCCCTCCCCCTTCTACACAGATCTCAGCTGTAGAGGAAAAAAACCTCTTCTTGTCCTCTGTCCCCCGGTTTATGAAGCGGAGAACATGAGAAGATTTTTTTTTTTCCTGAGAAGTGCAGAGAACTGAAATGAGATCAAATTATCGCTGCTTAATAAACATACAGCTGTCTGTCACATCATCAATAAACACCAATGACCCAGTGCCACTGGAAGCCATGCATACCTATGCCATCACACTGCCTCCACCATGTTTTACAGAAGACCTTGTGTGCTTTGGATAATTAGCTGTTCCAAGCCTTCTCCACACTTTTCTTCTTTCCGTCATTCTGGTACAGATTCATCTTTTCATCCGTCCAAAGAATGCTTTTCTAGAACTGGTCCGGCTTTTTTTTTTTTTTTTTTTTTAAGATTTTTTTGGTGAAGTCTAACCTGGCTTTTCTATTCTTCAGGCTTATGAATGGTTTGCACCTTGTGGTGAGCCCTCTGTATTTACTCTCATGAAGTCTTCTTGATTGTAGACTTTGACAATGATACGCCCATCTTCTGGAGAGTGTCCTTCACTTGTCTGGATGTTGTGAATGGGTTTTTCTTTACCACAGAGAGGATCCTGCAATCATCCACCACCGTTGTCTTCCGTGGACCACCATGCCATTTTATGTTGCTGAAGCTCACCAGTGTGCTCTTTCCTCAGACTGTACCAAACTGTTTATTTGGCCACTACTAATGTTGCTGCTCTGATAGATTTGTTTTTTTGTTTTTGAATCCTTACAATGGCCTGTTTCACTTGCATGGACAGCTCCTTTGACTGCATGATGTAGGTTCACAGCAAGATTCCAAATACCACACTTTGAATCAACTTCAGACCTTTTACCTGCTTAATTGATGAAGAAATAACGGAATAGCACACACCTGGCCATGAAACAGCTTTTGATTCAACTGTCCAATTACTTTTGGGGGGGGGGGGGGGGGAATGGCTACTCTTAAAGAGTGGTAATTCCTAAACCCTTCCTCCAATTTGGATGTACATACCCTCAAATTAAACCTGAGAGTGTGCACTCAGTCCATATCTATTATATAAAAAAAAAACCCCCCACACACTGTAGCTTGAATAGGTTTTGGTAAATACCTGAAAAAAAACTAATTGTGCCAGTGTCCAAATATATATTGGACAAACTGTATATCTCTCTATCCATCAAGCTGATCGTTCTAAGTTGTTTATATCAAAACACACCCACTTTACCCCCATCTTTGCAGCTCTACCCAACACCGCAAAGAATGTCTAGGTAAGAAAAAACAGGCAGATATACAGTCATCAGAAAAGCTGCAGTTGTCAATACCAGAATGAAGTGTGGTGCCACATTAGGGAAAACCAGAGGGCCAAAGAACCACAACTGCCCTCAGGGCATCTGACACCCCCAGCATCAGCTTATCAGGGCACATAACTGGCAAGATACTGTAACCGGTCTGCCCCAATGAGAGAACACACACTTTTTTTGAGATGGTTGCATCTTTTAGATACTTCAGATTTCATGTCAATGTGTGGCATAACGCATACAAATACACCTTGATATACACCAATATATTCACTGATTTAAATTGAAAAACAGTAGGCAAATAAATGCACAAGTGTTAATTGGCCTCCTGAGCCTCGGCTGTCAATGTCTGTAGGTGACCCATAAACATTAGAAGCTCACCAAATCCAGCCAAGCTAATCTGTCTAAAAAATACCCATGGGAATATAAAAACTAGCATACTCTAACCCAAGTGATGATGGCACTACATAGGTTATTTGCCAGTGGACCAGTTAGGATGGACAGAAATCATGGTGTTCAATATTCCTTAATTTCTGAGTGGAGAAATGAGTGGAGGGGGAAAATAAAAAAAAAAAAAAAAAAAAAAAAAAAAAGTCTGCAGTGCACTTACATTCTTCACTTCTGTGTATGCCTCCAATCCATATTCTCCCAGCTCTCTACCAACTCCAGAAGCTTTGTACCCTCCAAAAGGTGCTTGGGCTCCGAAGACATCATAGCAGTTGATCCTAAAAAAAAACACATAGGATTGAGAGCAAAATTTGTGTAGCAGGAACAAAGAAATTTGTTAAAAGGGAACCTGTCAGGATACATTGATTGCCAAGTCTTTTTGAATAGGCAAGCTCCAGAACAGTCAGCCTCAACCTTGTTTGACTAAACTAGTTGCTGTCTTGTAACAAGACATGCAAGGCAATGTCAGGACTAAAAGCCAGCTAAAATTTTTTTTTTTTTTTTTTTTGGAGTAACTCACTAAGCAGTTGACAGCCCATGGAACTTTCACATGTAAAAACCAAGGTGAGAATGACAAAATTACATACATCCCACAGTGGAAATTAGGATCAAAAAACACAAGGAGAAACTGACCAAAAGCTGCACCAAAAATGGCGAATTACCACCAGATCTGTAAAAGAAGGCAAGTGGACTTGACTAGCCTGTGCAATGTGAGCCATCTGCAGCAGGTAAACAAATTCATGCAGGCACAGCACAGCCTACCTGCTGAGTGCCATTTTCTCAACAAATTATCTTGTTTAGTTGGCTTTACAGTCACCAAATCACTAAAATATTATCTTTTTTTTTTAAAATGGTCGTAACCGAGTATGTCCATGGTTTCGGCACTTCTCTGCAGTTGAGAGAAAAGATGAACAGCACAGAATATTGTGACATGAGGCTACAATGCCAGCCAGTGCTCTTTTCTGTACATTAAAATTGCCATCAGTTAATTTCATATATAAACCATCCCTGAGCAAGAGTAAGCAGTCAGTTATTTGAAGGATAACTACATATGCACACCAGAGAGTGAGGAAGGCAAGTTATATGGTCCTATATACGTTTGGCTGTATATGGACTACATGAGATACCAAAGCAGTCATCCTACAAACATCTAGCAATTATGCAATGAGAAAATTTAAACAGAATACCACTGCCATAAAAAAAAGGTCTGGCGGATGTCCAGACATGATCATGAGTACTTTGTCAGGAAATAAGCTTGCAGGTCTGGCTCAGTTGAGACTGCCCGTGGTACCCCACTCCTCCCTCTGCATTGACAAAGTTGCACACACACCTTTCTTCAGGCCAGCATGCCAATTGGTCCAGTTATTCTAACTTTTACCAAGATTGTATCTAATGGCTCACTGCCATCACCACAGTGCCATCTGTGGGCCACAAGAAGCAAAACTCCAGCCTCATCTCTTAGGAAACCCCTTTAGCAAGTATACCATGGTTGTTGCAATGTGGCAGGTAGGCCTCCAAGGTGCTCAAAAGCTATACTGGTGGCTGGTATCACCCAACCCCTTCCTCAGGAATCAAACTGTCAAGTACACAACGCCTTGTACCTGGCCTAGCCTGAAAGTGGCATCTGTGAGACCTGTGGAATGCTACAGATGAGGTTGTGTACAGCATCAGAAAATTGCAGGTAGTGGATGCAGCTACTACTATAAAAACATAGTTAATCTGGTTGAAAAAGACAAGTCCATCCAGTTCAACCAAAAACCCATGCATTCTTCTAACATTCCAATCTGCCAGGTTAGTTCATGAATATCCCAATAGTTAAGCTTAAAATTTAATAAGCTGCAAAAAAGTCACAGTAGTAATCAGTAGGGGGTCTTACCACACGGTTCCAGCCCGCAAAGACTGAGATACATAGTTTGCTTTGTCAATGTCCTTTGTGAACACAGCTGCAGCCAGACCATACTCAGAGCTGTTGGCCCGTTCAATAACATCCTCAATGGTCTTGAATTTTAGGATCTGCATCACTGGTCCAAAAATCTACAAAAAAATATATTTCAGGGAAAACATGCTATAGCAAAATGGGGGGGGGGAACCGCCCCACACACACACACACTAGTCCAGGCTGGTATATTTTAGAGTCCCTTTCCATAGTGGTTTAGGGCTCCTTCATACCTCCTCTCTGGCAATGGTCATGTTGTCAGTCACATCTCCAAACACTGTGGGCTGTATAAAGTATCCACGGTCAGCAGCAGCATTCCCACCACACAACAACTTGGCACCTTCTTGTTTTCCAGATTTTATGTAACCTAGGATTTTCTTAAACTGTTCCTCATCCACCTGAAATGAAGAAGTATTCATAAGAGCAACAGGTGCCTGCACTTTGAAAAACAATTGTGTTAGGATCTTGTGAAGGTGTGTCCTGAAAAGCAGACTCCCTTTAATGTGTTGCAGTGGAAGATTCTGGTTGACGAGCATCAAGCAGTGTTCCGTCTCCAAATACTTCTGCACAATGCATAACATATTAAGAAAATACTTCCAAATTAAAACTATACTGTTTCAATGGTTTCTTTTTACAATCATCCTCCAGCAGGAGGTCCTATACTCAACAATGGTTCATTTATATAAATGGACTATAAACCCCACCACTGATACCTTCTGCAGTATTTTAGGAAGAACGGGGGTTACTGTTTATGGCACTGGTAGGAGGGAGAACAGAAAAAAAAAAAAAAAAAAAAAGATTTTTTTTATAAAAGATTAAAAGCAAGCTGGCCATTATTTTCTCTTTCAAATTGTACGGCAGAGATTCTTTAAAAGTATATGTAAATCTCAAAAATGAACTTTTATTTACTCCCTTTTGGTCTCAAATACACTGGAAAAAATAAAAAGGAACACTTTGAAAAACACATCAGACCTCAATGGGGAAAATAGAATACTGGATATCTATACTGATATGGACTGGGTAATGTGTTAGGAACATAAGGACGGTCCATCGTTTGATGGAAATGAAAATCATCACCCTACAGAGGACTGAATTCAAAGACACCCCGAAAATCAAAGTGAAAAAAAGATGCCGCAGGCTAGTCCATTTTGCTGAAATCTCATTGCAGCAACTCAAAAAAATGGTACTCAGTAGTTTGTATGGCCCCCACGTGCTTGTATGCATGCCTGACAACGTCGGGGCATGCTCCTATTGAGACAACGGATGGTGTCCTGGGGTATTTCCTCCCAGATCTGGACCAGGGCATCACTGCTCTCCTGGACAGTCTGAGGTGCAACCTGGCAGCGTCGGATGGACCGAAACATATCCCAGAGGTGTTCTATTGGATTTAAGTCAGGCGAGCATGGGGGCATTCAATGGTATCAATTCCTTCATCCTCCAGGAACTGCCTGCATACTGTCGCCACATGAGGTCGGGCATTGTCGTGCACCAGGAGGAATCCTGGACCCACTGCACCAGCATAGGGTCTGACAATGGGTCTAAGGATGTCATCCCAATACCCAATGGCAGAAGGGGCGTATTTGCCACAAGGCATTTGCCTAGGGTGGCAGTTTTTTTTTTTTTTAAGGGACAGCACCACCCCCTGGAAGAAGGGACATGTGGCATGGGGACCAGATGGGATCCAAGAGAGTGTGGGATGCTTGGTTGGGTATACAGAGCCCAACTGTCATTCCCATGGATGTCCAGAGCTTCTCCATACCCTTTCACGTCTGTCACATGTGCTCAGGGTGAACCTGCTCTCATCTCTGAAAAGCACAGGGTGCCAGAGGCAGACCAGCCAATTCTGGTGTTCAATGGCAAATGCCAATTGAGCCCTTTCGTGCCAGGCAGCGAGCACAGGGCCCACTCAAGAATGTTGGTGGCCCTCAGGCCACCCTCATGAAGTCAGTTTCTGATTGGTCAGAGACACACTATTGGCCTCCTGGAGGTCATTTTGTAGGGCTCTGGCAGTGCTCATCCTGTTCCTCCTTGCACAAAGGAGCAGATAATCCTGCTGATTGGTTAAAGACCTTCTACGGCCCTATCCAGCTCTCCTAGAGTAACTGCCTGTCTCCTGGAATCTCCTCCATGCTCTTGAGACTGTGCTGGGAGACACAGCAAACCTTCTGGCAATGGCACACATTGATGTGCCATCCTGGAGGAGTTGGACTGCCTGTGCAACCTCTGTAGGGTCCAGGTATCATCTCATGCTACTGAAAAAAGAAGGGGGGAAGTTATGTCTGCTGACAAGTGCAAAGAAATCCAGTGCTGTTCTGTGTACCTTGCAGTTTCCTCAAATGGAAGGTTATCAGAAGTGTCACAACTACAGAACACCTCAGTGTGTTATATTGGAGAAAGGGGGGGGGGGGGTCTGTCTGTAGTTTTATACTAGGGATAAAGGACAGTGAGTGTGGATTATCAACCTATTGTAAGAGGTTATTACTGGCATTATCACCAGGAAATTAACGGTCAAGGAAAAAAAAAAAAAAAAGTAACAGCCACCACATACAAGAACTGTAGTATACTGTATTTTACTGGTGGTTTTAGATACTCTAAAGAGTATAATGCAAAAAAAAAAAAAAAAAAAAAAAAATACTGCACGCTTCACTCTTTAATAGAGAAAAAAAAAAACCACACACTCATGCAGCACAGACAGGAGATTTAAAACCGGATCATGACTATTGTACCTGAGGTCCTTGTTCAGTTTTGAAATCAAAGGGGTTTCCAACAACCCTGTTTTTGGCCCGATGAACACTTCTCTCCACAAAATCCTTGTAAATATCCTCTTGAACATAGGTACGAGAGCCTGCACAGCAGCATTGTCCTTGATTGAAGAACAGAGCAAAGTGGGCCTGCTCCACAGCCCAGTCCACTGTACACAACACAAGAATGAATACAATGTAAACCAGCTGTCTCTGCAGTGTCACATTACATAAACTGTGTATAAAAGCAAACTGGCTAATGCAAACATTGAAACATCTGATACTCTGGAGCTTTGTTGCAGCCAAATGTAGTATTGCTAGATCTGCTAGCATTAATGTTAATATTCAAATTCTTTTTTTTGGGGGGGGGGGGGTGAGATGTACTAAAAAAAAATGGTGGACTCAGTCTGCAGCTGTGCATGGTAGCCAGTTTCGAATGTCAACTTGTTCATTTAAGCTTTGGCAATAAAACCTGGAAGCTTGTTTCTATGCACAGCTGCACTCTCCAGTTTTAGCAAAATAACACCCCCCCACTGCATACTCAGGTTTATTCAGCGATTCTGCAAACTGCACAAGGTTTTAAACCTGGCAACCTTGCGCATCATACGGTTCTTTATTCAAAAAACTCACATAACATTGTTCCAGTGGCGACACACACACAGACACTAAAACAGCATTCTGTCCTACTGCACAAGGACCCAACATCTATGTACATTTTTTTTTTTTTTTTTTTTTTTTAAGCCAGGAATGTTGACCAACCAATAAAGAATGTTTTAGGAAATTAAAAAAAAAAAAATGTGGCAAGGTCGGGCAGATGGCATAGTCACTGGGAACTCTGTAATGCATTACTTCCAAGAATTGCCCAATATCCAGCATAGAGGAAATATTATTCAATGAAGCATGAACTCTTGCTAAAGTAAACCACTAACTTGATAACGTGTCAAAACCAATAAGTAACCAGCCTACACCCAGAAAAATGTCATTGGAGCAGAAAAAAAAATACATTACAAACAATCATGCTGTGCCATAAATATTAATACTTACAGTCTGCGTCAGAAAATATGATGTTGGGGCTCTTCCCACCAAGTTCAAGGGTGACTTTCTTCAAGTTACTCTTACCAGCTGCTTGCTGAATCAGACGACCCACCTGAGGCAAAGAGAGGACACAAGTATGCAGGTGTCTCATAGTGGGGTTATTTACTAAAACTGCAAGGTGCAAAATCTGGTGCAGCTCTGCATAGAAACCAGCTTCCAGTTTTTTATGGTTAAAGCTTAATTGACCAAGCGGAAGTTAGAATCTGGTGCAGCTGTGCATGGTACCCAGTTTCAGTAGTAAACTCTACCCCAAAACGTGTTCAGATCTTTTTGCAGGCCTAAAGTTAAAGCTCAGGGGTCATCCCTTTAGTCCTGAAGGGGAACACTCTATGCCATTAATCATATCAGACTGGTAAGCATCTGCAGGGTGAATTTTCAAGCACTGCTGCACTTAGTTGCTGTTGGAGATATCCACACTTTGAAGACTTTTTGCACTGTGAAGAGAGACTTTGGCTGCACAAATGTGTGAATCATGCAAAGCACCTTATAGAAGATTTGGATCTTAGCATGTGCACAACATCTTTAGTGTGTTATGAATTTAAGAAAAAAAACCCACACAACCACAAGCATCCACACTTGTCTATGTGGGTGCAGCATCAGGATGATGCTGCAGCTGTCCAACACCAGCTTTATGAACATAAAATGAGCGATCACATAACTGTTGATCAGTTGGTCTTCATTTAGAAGAGAGCAACCATCACTCACTGCACTCTGCCCCTCCAGTGCTCACTGGGGCACCAAGCTGGGGAAGGGGCAGCACACAGAGGCAGAGCCAGATGCCAGTCAGGCATTTGGCTGTATCCAAATTGCTGAGATACATCCAGAGATTGGCATGGATTAATGATGTCAACCAAAAGTGGGCTATAGCCTAATTTCAGCTGAATCTGGGTCACAGGAGTGCCGAAAAGTGTACTCTTGAGACCCAGAAAACAAGTATGGTCAAAAAACTTTTTAAAAAGGTTTTCAAAGACATTTAAAAGTTAGTTTTCCTAAAGACATGGGAACAAGACTCGGATGAAATGAAGTTTCAGTCAGGTATTAAAACTTGAGGGTTCAGCAGTGTGTCTATAATGCCAAGGGCAAATGATATGTTATCAGTTTGAGTTTCCATTATCAATGGACTTCCATTAGAAATCTACTGCATGTGCATAGACCATCCAAGGGACATTCTGTGATTAGGCTGTTCATAAGCTGAGTTTTTTCTTTTGATGCTGCTGAGTGCTGGACAGGTAAGTGGGAGACTTTGAGGACTTGATGGGAGCTTGTATTTAATACTTGCCTACTGGGCACTTATATGCCCTTCCTTACCAGACCAAATTTTCAGATTTCAGCACTGTTGCACTTTGAATGACAATTGTGCAGTCATGTAACATTGTACCCATAAGAAATTTCTATAAATTTTCCACACAAAGCTTTCTTTGGTGGTATTTACTTGCTGCCGAGTGGTTTTTTTTTTTTTTTTGCGCAAAAAAAATAAGAGTGTGAGGAAAGTGCAGCCTATAACCAGCAATTACATTACCCGGTGATCAGTATGTCATTGGACATGGCAGATCACGTGGTAAAAAAAAAGGTCACTGTGATTAGACCATATCACGTGATTAGCTGTGTCCGTAGGACACAATGATCACAGAGATCGCATTCTGGGAGGACGTCATGACGTCCACCTAGAACTGGCCAGCCGCAATGAAGCCATCATTCGGCTATCTGCAGTCGGCAAGTGGTTAAAGGATATATTTTTACTCATTAGATTATCCATTAAGTTAATGGGCTTAAAATGGCTATTGATTTCTGCACACTAGTTTTTTTTGCAACCCTCACTACACAGAGCAGATCCCCAAATTACCAGTCTGATGTTCTAGCTGATTACTGGGAGAATAAACCTTTTCCTTCAAATGCCAATGAACTAATGGCACCCACAGACATGGGAAATGTGGTCAGAATTTGCAATGCATTTAGTCTTTACTTTAAGATCAGGATTGTGCAGAATTAGGCGCCTTACCTCTGTAGAGCCAGTGAAGGCAACTTTATCTACATCCATGTGAGAAGAGATGGCAGCACCTGCTGTGGGTCCCATTCCTGTAATAATGTTAACAACCCCAGGTGGGAATCCAGCCTGAAAGAAAAAAAAAAAAAAAAAAATGTATATGCCGTTAATTCCCGATTTGTGGGTGGTTTGGTTAATCACCATTATCACAAGACAGCAGTGTGGCTCTGCAATGGTATTTAGACTTTGAATAAGGTCTGATTGTGAAGTGCAAGAGGGAATTCTGTTATTTAAGGAAGATCTCTTCTGCAAGAATACGGTTAGGGATCTCAAAGTCAAAAAGGTGGTCATAAGGTCTCTCCGGTTTGTACAAAGCTTGCAGACTACTGCTTTTGGAGGGTAGAATTAAGAGTCTCTGGCCAGTGTCAGAAGTCTGACTGGGGCCTGTCTCTTCACTCTATGGAGAGATCAAAGGAGGAAGGGCACAGTGGTTGCCATTTAGTCAGGTCTCAGATATGTAGCAGTCAATGTGCAGCTTTACCGACAACTTACATGAGGATCAGGAACGAACCCTTGGCACCATTAGTGACTGGAGGTAATTTTTTGGCTTTTAAACTTTCAAACACTTTAAATGCAAAACAAATACTTCTGGTGAAGAGGTGAACAGAGGATATGCACTGTAAAGGACAAAATAAATCCATGAAGTAATGCTCTGAATACCAGACTCTACCTCTTTCACTAGGCTGGCAACATGAAGAGCAGTGAGAGGAGTCTGTTCAGCCACCTTCATGACGATCACATTTCCAGTTGCCAGGGCAGGACCAAACTTCCAAGCAAGCATCAGCAATGGGAAGTTCCACTGTGACAAGACAGAATGAGTTAAATTCCAACTCTAGAGTAGAAAATTATTAATTCAAAGACCAGTACTGCGAATTACACAAATAACCGGGATGTGTTACATTTAAAAAAAAAAAAAAAAAAAAAAAAAAAAAAAAAAAGATAAGTTCACCTTTGACAAAAACTAATTTTTTTTTTTTTCCCCTGCAAAAAGTACTGAATTTTTTGTCCAAAGGAGCCTGTAAAGCAATCGGATTGCTAATGCCATGCAGTTCTCCTGCAGATCTGTCAGAATATCTGCTTGATCGTACATCCTGTACGGCAAGCAGATAATCTGACAGGAAGCTTGAATGAACTACCACGCCTCTCCATAGCGCCGTGGTAGTTCATTGAAAACTACAAGCCGACAGCCGCTTGTTGCATACAACATCCCAAAACCCTAACTACCCCCCCACTTACCTGAAACATGAGGTACTTCTGTCTGCAACTTCTTGTAATTTGAAGGTCAAGGTCTGGGATCACGCGATGGAAAATACTACAAGTCCCATCTGTTACTGCAGCACAGGGACAAATGCAAAGAATGCAGAAACCCCCTTGTCAAACCACACTTCACCTGCACTTCCTACAGCATTCTAACAGGTCTGTATGGACCCAATAGTGGGGAGTACATTGCAAGAGCCTGTTCACTGCAACCGACAAGCTAAAACATGGGTTCAATGCTCTGCAGACTTCTAGTAAAATACACCTGGATCATAAAGTCAATGTTGCTGCATTTACTGCTATTTTTGAAAAAAGTAGACTTTAAAGAAAAAAAACAAAACAAAAAAAAAAAAAAAACAAACCTTTGCCGAGATAAAAATGTACAAGTCAGCGAAACCATTTAAGGAACAAATCAATGCTATATATAGCGTTGGCAATATTCAGCAGGAAACTTGCCCCGTATAATTTCTCAACAGTCAAATATGACCAAGTTTGCCAAGACATACCGGGATGATCTGTCCACAGACCCCAACAGGCTCATGTCTGGTGTAGGTGAAATAATCTCCATCGATGGGAATAGTTTTGCCATGGCATTTGTCAGCCCAACCAGCATAGTATCTGAAATATAGAAGAATTGTGTCAGATTTCCAGCCATACTATAAATGTCACTAGTACAGTTCTCCATTTAAAAGAGAAGCATCTTTTACAACCTTTAAAAGTTCCTATTCATGGCAGGCTGAAGGAATTTTGGCAGTGTGGTAGCTCAGACTTAAATTATTGCTCATTAAGTTCCTGTCTGATGCAAGTTTATAAACATCCTTGGACAGGTAGGGCAATATCTCGGTCACTGCTGCAGCAATGATTGAGGGTTCATTTTGTAACCAGCAATTCTGCACAAAGTAAATGTAATTTGAGTGGCTAACGAGCCGCTGGATTACTTTTACAGGCAGCAGCAGTGGGTCCCACCCCCTCCTCCCGCTGTTGCCTTTACTGCTCTGTGAGATCAGAGAGCCTGGCAAGGATGAAACCTGCAGCATCCAGCTCTAGGCACAGTGAGGAATGGATGTCATTCCTTCCACTGTGACTTCAATAACCAGAATAGACGATGAGATTGTCACCTTTGATGTTTCGGTCCTGTTTACCTGGCAGTTACCAGCTAAATCAAACCAACCTGTCTGAATGGCTGCATTGGGAGGTCAGGAGAGATTTGTGGTCCAATAGACCCCAGATCTCCCAATAAGAAGGAACAACATCCCATGTAATAGCATGGGCCTGTCACAGCCCATCCCATTATAAGGGATAATGTCCATTCCTTGCACTATCTATATAGCAATTTGGCACTGCTCCACATTTGCATTTAAAAAAACCCACTGTGCAAATATCGTGCAGCAAAAATATGCAATGGCCACCATTTTATTCTCTAGGGTCCCCACTTAAAGAAAAAAAAAAAAAAAAAAAAAAAAAAAAAAAAGGAAGTGGTTAAAGTGGCTTACCTCAGACATTTGAGTACAAGGTCCAAGTCCACTGCATAGGCAATGGCATAGGGCTTCCCATTATCTAGGGTTTCCAAATTCTATTGAATAAAGTAAAAACTAAATTATTTCTAGAAGGTTTATTGAAGAAAAAAAAAAAATAATTCTATATTGCAGCTTACCAGTCCTTCAATTCAGTGGATACGTTTGCTTTTACAGCCCCCATTTTTTTTTTTTACCTGGTGATCCTGCCAGTAACACATTTCCTGTCCTAGGATTTCAAGGCTAACTTGACTATGCTGTAATTATGGAGGAACAGCATTGTCCCTCTAGACGACTCTCCCTATATGGACTCAAGAACACCTCCTCTACATTACATTTTATAAGATTGATTTCTCCACAAGGCCTATGGTTGCAGATGTGAAGGACCACTTGTTCTCTTGACACTTAATATGTAAATAGTTTGTGTGCATATTCTGGCCTCCAGTCCACTTTTAAGCCAGTTTCCAGCTTCTGTATAGCGGATGACTATAGAGTGGTGTTTTGGTTCCATCCCATAAGGTCCCAAGGAAGGTTTCTCTATACCATCATTTCTCAAATGCATGGGGTATAGGTTTGCAAAAGGCAGCTCGTTTTTTGTGCAGAGAAGTTAACACAGGATCGCTCAGATGAACTGTACAGGGATTGATTACCCTTCCCTCATCTCCAGCCTGGACTACTCCTGTCCCAGCTGGAGAAATGGTGGTGGGGGCGGTAATCAAATCCTGTGCAATGGAAACCAGGTTAAAATTGCAAGGGGGGGGGGGGGGGGGGGGGTTTTAGGATGTAGGACTTGCAGTGTACAGACCACTGAACTCTGCCTGGTACAGTACATTAAGGTGTGCAAAATCAATCACTCACACTGCACAAAAAATGAGCTGCCTTTGGTAGACCCGTATCCTGTGCATCTAGCAAACATGCATGCATTTGCATCTGCTGAAATGCATAGTACCATTGTAAAGATTTTGAATCATGCCAACACTTTTTTTTGGGCACTTGCAGCGCATAGAGCGGCAACACACACTTTCAGTTTTTTTATTTTTAGGTCACTTTTTATTTCATTAAACAAAATCAAAAGCGTTTTGAGGGAAAAAAAAAAAAAAAAAAAAGTGCTGTCAATTGACTTTTCTAGAAAAGGAATGATTTATTAGGGCCCATTTATCAGGATCCAACTTCACTTTGATCACAGATGTTAGGATGGTGTATTCACAAGTTTAAAAAAAACACCAAAAAAAAAAAAAAAAAAAAAAAAACACCTATCAATAGGGCCAAAGCTATTTTTGGCTATACTTCTCCAGGGGAATTACAAGAGTGCACTTAGTTTCTACTTCTGTGACTAGCTTTCAGCAGAGATCTAAAGTCCGCCGTCAGCTGATGTCACTCAGTTGGTCCAGGCTCTAAAAAGATTGTGACTTTACAGTTGGGTTCCACCCAGGTACCTGGACTGGCAGATGGGAGAATGAGCCAGCCACTCCCACCCCCTTCACAGCCTGACACTCTAGACCAGGGGTGTCAAAACGGCGGCCCTCCAGGGTGTAGAAGAAACAGGTGATCCTTAGGTAGAATCTGAATAAATGAAGAAACCATGAAAGTGTGTACTTGTTATAGAGCAGGGGTGTCAAACTGGTGCCCCTACAGCTGTTGCTGACTACAAGTCCCATCATGCCTCTGCCTTCGAAAGTCATGCTTGTAACTGTCAATCCTGAAATGCCTCATGGGACTTGTAGCTGGAGGGCCACCAGTTTGACCCCTTTGCCTCTAGACTGAATATTGAGAACAGAGGCTGCATGGTTCTTTTTAGTAAATGGTGATGCTTGCACTAGACTGCTTTAGTCCTGGCAAAAGCTGGGCAAGCTTGCTGATGCTCGGTGACTCAAGTATGCATCTCAGACAGATCCCATTATCAAATTAGTTTGGGGGTTAAGGGGGATGGAAACAATGCATTTAAAAATTAAGTTGTCAAATTTCAGGAAAATTAAATTCATTGAATACTGCGACGTGTATTTTACAGATTTTACAGATTTGTCAGTGCAGAAAAAAAATATATTGGTCAAAGTTTGGCAAAACAGCCTTATGGGAGATTTGAAGAATCACTTAGGATAACCATTTTATTTACAATCTACTTACAGCCAGAATAGCCCTGTCCCGTTCAATAAGATCAGCAAGTCTGTTCATCAAAAGTCCCCTTTGAGAGGCATCCATTCTTCTCCATGGTGATCCCAACTTGAACGCATTGTGTGCGGCTTTCACAGCTTTGTCAACATCGGCCTATAAAAAAATACCAGTTAAAAGTTAACCTTAGGACAATACTGTAAAAATGAAGCACTATATAACCAAGTACACGGTGCATTTACATGAAAACAATTCTGATATGATGTTACTTTACATACTGAACAATACTGTTAAAGTCTGAGTAAACATCTTTTGTTGCCACACTATTCATGAAGGTAGCTGTACCAAGCACTGCCAGAAGGGATGGGTTATTAAATGGAATATAATTTGGAACAAATACTTCTGCATAAAAGACACTATTGAAAACATGCAATAAATCAGGTTGTCTAGTCAGTTTGCCGACTGGCCAACAGGATTTCTTGCAAAAAATGTTAAGCTATCAATTTTTATATTTCTACATGAAACCACCTACATTTTATCTTTATTGTCCAAAAATAATCTGTATGCATCCACTACTTAATGGCTCCATAATCGAATTTTATAAAATGGTTTGTGTTTCTGCCTCCTTGTAACATCCTGCATTAATTCCTGGACTTTTCCCATCTCACTTCCGTTTGCAACTAACGTGCACGGCTCCGTTACAGTTCTGTCATTGCTCTATGCACGCTACAATATGGAATTTGGAGATTTGATGGAAGTCAAGAGCAATAGAAGGTACTTGGTGTTAAAAATGTATAATCTAATAGAAAATTAGAAACTAGAATCTAGTGTCACTTTAAAGCACAACAACTCGAGTAAACCTGACATTTTTCCCTGAAAAAGCGTGGGGAAATGTTACAACCAATGTCTTGGTTTTATGGTCATATACCCATTGTGGAGGAGATCTCTCAGATTTCCTCTCCAGGTAAGAAGAAGAAAAAAAAAAAAAAAAGCTGACATTATCTCCATTTCTTAAAAATAAGTGCTAAAATCTAAATGGAGTCACAATGGCAATCTTAACTTCTAACCCTTTCCAAAACTGTCTTTTTTGGAGTTTAGGTGTCAAAATAGAATTTGAGAACTACAACTCCCTCCATGCAGTGAAAGTTATATCTGTTAATGTGCGACAGATCAGGAGCCTCTTGGCCGGTCAAACTTGGACTTCTGTTATGATGGCTGGAGCAGGATGAGCATGGCAGAAAGAAAATTTACATCAGGAATTAAACAACCAGAAAATGCAGTTCTAACTTTCCATCATAACAGGCTATAAAATGTCCATTTCTTCAAGCCATCCGGGTGGGACTGCAGTCACTTGCCACAAGATAAAAAAAAAAAAAACCTATTAAAAAAGTGATGTAATGCTTGCAGTCCCTGCAAAAAAAAAAAAAAAAAAAAAAAAAAAAAAAAAAAAAAGGAGTATGCGCACCAACTTACATTTTTAACCCAATTGTGCAAGGTGTTAAAAAGATAAATCCTGGCCAACAGTTTAATATCGCCCAACAGAACACCTGTATGCTACTCTCATCTTGCCATTCTGACAAAGATCTAGACATCAGTCATTACTTTCTAGCTACCATCTATGAAGTCTAGAGGTTCCTAGAATAGTATGCTTGAAGCTAATCCAAGCTTAGATGTGCTTTAAATAGTTGATGGAAAACAAAAGCAGCAGAAAAGATGCTTTTGCGATCTATTCACCTACACCATATGGACTGGCAGAAAGCAGATTACAATTAATCAGACACATCTGCAGGTACATTGATAAAGTCTCAGCATCCCCTGCCATTACCAGGTTATCCTGTACTGTTTCCCCATCAGCTGCCAATCCGGGGTAATAGCATTAGAAAAGGTTAACATTTTAATACATCCACTTACACTAATCCATGCTCCTGTGGAAGCCAGTTAGCAAAGCACCTAGAGATACAGATAGTCTCCCCAGTGCATAGCTAGCTGTAAAAAAGTTATTCTGCCAAATTTTCCAAGAAAAATACATCCTGTGTGAAACCAATGGGCAGCTTTTGTTTTTACCAGTGTATTATATAAATAGGGACATTATGAAATATGACCATATAAAAATAGATCACACAAGATCAATTTAGCAAAAAACACACCAAGTTCAATGACCATTTGCAGAGTGCTAAAAGACAGCTAATAGATTTCTGGTCACTGGTTCGGGTGATAATGTACATTTGTTAATTTCACCAGATACATATGTACAGTGTGCTATGGTGTTGTCACTGTCATTTTATCTTGTAGATACATACAGGGAGTGGGATTACAGTAGAAGAGCACACTTCTAGATACATAGCATTCCTGTAACGGTTTTCCTTATAGGTAAATTATAAATAGAATGTGTGCCTTCAATAAACTTGCCTTCCATGAATGAAAAGTGACAGATCTTATTTGCATTTTGATAGTGCTGCCAGGGCCTCCTGATTTCCTATGCAAATGTAAACTTGTGAAACCAGGGCATGCTACCCACATCCCCAACTCACAAACGGCACCCCATGGATGGTGTTACATTGAAAGATGGTGCATTCCTACTCTCCCCATAGTCCAGAAGTCCACCAGCTTTGTCAAGGTGCTTTATTACATAGAAACAAGATCTAGTACTCCGCCATTGAACAGCAGCAGCCATTTTTTACCTAAATGGAAATCTTATCAGCTTTAAATTGATTTTTGTACTGAACATAGAATTTTCTCCAGTAGTGAAGGTGCAGGCTTTGAAATGAACATTTGTATTCCCACACAGATGTATAGGAATGTAAAACTTGAAGGCAAATGCAGATCAAAAAGGAGGTAAACTAAAACTACATATGCCTTCTGAAATCCTTTGAAAAGTCTCAAAACAGGTCCCAAACTGACACCTCCAACACAAGCAGCCCAAATTCTAGTAATACAGGCCCCTATTTTGCTTCATTACTTGGTGACCCGATTACCCGAGGTTGTGATGTGACATTCTCTATTACCCAGCTGAACAAGTCTGAATGGAATGGGAGCTCCAGCCACCCAACCGACTATTCCAACTTAGTTGTGCCATTAAATTTAGGGAGGGAGCACAGCAACATCTGGAAGGAACAGCTCTCACTTCAATGCTAATTTCCTCCGACGTTCTGTCCCAAGAAACATTTTCAGAGTTTTAAGTCTTGCCAGAACACGGTGGATAGCCTATTAAAAACACAAAAGGCCATTATGGACTTGCCCCCTGAAAGGGCATCACTAGGCACCTCGAATACAGATACAATGGATGTAGAGAACAGTTGAGGACTGCTTACCACTGCAGACAAAAAAAAAAAAAAAAAAAAAAAATAAAGGGAAGAAGAGGATCCCACATTATGTGACCAGCCCGAGTAGCATATTTTGCACCGGTCTTCTGTTGCTGAGAGATTCAGCGCATAGTAATAGTACCAGACAGACCAAAGAACTTCGGATATTCACAAGGGTAACTGAACAGTTCATTCTGAATGAGGGGGTACCTCACCACCCTACAGGATGGTATGATTCTATTGATGTACACAATATAGTGTGACTCTATAGGACACCACAAGAGGAGCTACCCTGAAATAGGAACACTGGAGCAGCAGTCATGGCACCAGCTTAAACTAGAATACAGGCAGGGATTAAAAAGATAAAAAGCTGCATATGCAGAAAGTGATAAAAATCAGCTGCTTGAAGTGAAAAAAAAAAAAAAAAAAAAAAAAAAAAGTGCAGAAAGAATGTTCAGTTCCTGTTTGCCCAGAGCATACTTAGAAATAAAATTTCTTATTTTTATCTTAACAGCATTCAAAAACATTTTTGTTCAGTTTTTCTGCAAAATAGAGGATCACATGAGACCATTTAGAAAGACTAGTGTCTGTAGGGCCCAGAAGCTGCACATTGTTCTTTTCGTGTATTCTATACTGTAATACATTTTGGCTTAATAGCAGATAGTCATAACTTAAAAGCAATTCAACTTGCACAAAATATAACATCCACCACATTAAACTAAAAAAAACAAATTAAATGTATTTTTCCCCATTTCCAAAACCATAGTAAGAAGTGTCAAGTTTGGGAAAGAACAGTCAAGTTGGGGGGGAGGTTTGCGTGGAAGAGTTACAGCAGTTGACCGAAACGTTACAAAAAAGGACAGAAAAGAACAAACAAGTTATTTATTCATTACAGCGCTATTAAGTAGTGGATGTGTATGGGTTATTTTTTGGAGAAGGGCATTTAGTTACTGACTGGAGATTAGTTTTTTTTATTGTAAAACATCAAAGTTACATCCAAGCACGACATCCACCCCCCCAAAAAAAATTGAGGCTCCTCACATTTACGCACGTACAAACTTAAAAGCACATGCTACGGTGCTTAGGCATGAAAGCCGTGATTGAGATGCATATCGCCACGCACGTCAGAATGAAAGCAATATTTCTAGCATGAGACCTCCTCCGTACACTATACTGATGACCTATAAAAAAAAAAAAAAAGGGCTTTAAATGTGCTGCCTAAAGATAATACAGGGTACTGAAGTTAGTTGCCATTTCACAGGTGCATGCAAAATTTAAGATTTGACATGTTGGATATCTAGTTACGCGATGCAATCCAGTTTTAGATTTTTTTTTTTTTTTTTTTTTTGTGTAAAAAGGGAGTACTCATTTATGCAGAGCACTGTAGAATTACACAAAAAAAATGGAACCAATACAGTTTTCATGTAACTGGATTAGATTACACACCTCTTTATATGAAAAAAAGGTGCTCGTCCTATGCCTTTAGGCAGTGCCAAGCTAATCACTTTTTACAAGGAAAGGGAATACAAAATTTTCTACTACTGCAAAACACCAATAAATTTACTCATCTTGTGTAATAATAAAGTGTAAATAGCAAAACTGTGGCAATTGAGCCTGCAAGCTTGGCAGACAAGATAAACCTATGGCCAAAATGCTTGTACAATTCAGTTCTCTTGTACAAAGCTTAAGAAAAAAAAAAAAAAAAAAAAAAGTGGATGGAGGTAGACAAAATCTAAAAAACATTCAGGGCTTCCATATAATAAACAGAATTGCAGACAGCTATAAGGCCTGGTGAGACAAACATAAGCCTCAAGCAATCTTGCACTTGACAGCTGAATGTTGCACCACAAGTTTAGAAAGATTGCACAATACTGTAGAACAGCTTGGACTGCTATTGTCTCTACAAGACGTATAGAGGATCCTGCATGCAGGCAAGCCAGTTTTTTTTTTTTTTTTTAAAACCTGGGTGGGAGATAGTACTGGAAGAAAACACGCACACGTACATGTACCTGCTCTGTGCCATGGTTTGACAGAGCAGCCCCAATCCTTTTTTTTTTGGGTCCTCTGCCAGCGCTCTGGCTCCTCAGCTGCCCAAGTGACCAGTTGGCGCACTTCAGCAGACTCTCCTGTTCACATGCAGAGCATGCCTCAGCCCTGTCCCCTCATTGGCTGTGATGAGCAGCAGGAGCAAATGAGGAGAGAGACCCAGGAAAGCCACAGCTCTCATGCACATTGCTTCATCGAGATGGGGCTCAGATAAGTGTAAAGGGGGCTGCACACACAAGGCTTTACCTAAATGTATAAAAAAAAAAAAAAAAAAAAAAAAACTCCATATAAAACCTCTGGCATGTATTTACTGCAGTCTAATTGCAGATTTAGGAATTATAGGGAAAGTTACTGTTCCTCCACCACCGGACTCCCATAGTGAAATGGGCACACTTTAACGGATCAGAACCATAGCAAAACCTAAGTTGTGGTTAATTCTAGACCTATGCTCTACCAAATACAGGCAAGATACTGGCTGCTTTAGGACAGGAAAGCATTAGACCTTTTAATGTTTAACCATTTTACTGCTGGTGCAAAATGTAATTAAATTTTCCACACGTGCAAATGCACATTTTAGGCTGGAAGATTACCCAAAACTCCCAAATTACAGATTTTCTGAAAACAAACCTGTGAAACAGTTTTTCAGGTTTTTTTTTGTCTTTAAACTCAAGTTTAAAAAAAAAAAAAAAAGTTTAAAAATTAAAAAAGGATTATTGCTATCACAAGGGGGCTGATAAACAGTGTGGGTGAGAAGTTCTCTTTATGGAGACATAAAAGGTCCACTAGAACCCCAATGACACCTCTGCGCTCTGTTGAAACACAGACTGACAACTCTTAACGCAGAAAAGTTGAGCACATACAAATGTTCCCTGATCTTCCACCACTCTCCATCCTGACACTTGCCATGGAGGTCCCAGACACAAAGGAGGAAGCAGCGAGCCTGGGACACAAGATGTGTTGGGGGAAATTTGTGAGACCATTCCTAATATACAGAACCAGATCACATCTGTATGAAAGCCAGAAACAAATTTAAAAATCACAGCTACTATAGCTGCTGGCCATTTGTGTACATACTGTGACATGCACCACCTGGACATGAATATTTTAGACCACATATTAAAAATGTGTAAAAATTTCCAAAATCAAGCCAACTACCTTTGTTACCATAGCAAAATGTTAGACTTTCCAGCTGCTGGAGGAACCCAATAACTATTTTTTGCTTTAGCAATTGTCTAGCTTGTTTAGAAGCAATACATTTTTTTCAAGCCCCAGTTTCCTCAAAATCTTGTTTGCCGATTTTATTATTCTTTTTTACAATCCATTAATGTCAGTTCCCATTTTGAGTTCAGTACTAGATACACGTTTAGTTCTATGTTAATGCATGTCTATAGCAAGTCCAACGTCCCCAATATAACTTCTCTCTACTCCAAAAGATTTTATAAGAATGCTGTAAATTTGACTAAAAAAGTCCTCCATGCCTTGGGATGAATTAAAACACGAAGTTATATACAGTTCAGAAACGAAATGCAAGAGCAAAAATCGAAAATTCAGGAATGCACAGATTCTACTTACTTTATCACCCTCTGCAACATGGCAGATGACCTCTCCAGTGGATGGGTTGACTGTGGGGAAGGTTTTCTTGCTGGTTGCATCATGCCATTCATTATTTATGAAAAGCTGAAACAGAGTTGGATATAAAGATTCATCAAATGTAACTAATCTAATCTCCAATATCCCAACATAATGAGACTCATTTAGAAAATAAATGTGAACAGCAAACATGCTGGCGAAGAAAACAATCAAACCAGCCAATTTTACATAAAGATCCATGGTGATCTCGCCATCAGGTGACTCACTGAGCTTCAGGCAAACTGCTAAAAAGTGTTATAATCTATCTACAAAAACACTTACCTGCAAAACAATTCTTAATCGTGTTCAGCCAGAGATCTAGGCATGCTGTAAAAAAGTGAGATCACCAATCTGCTTGTAGCCTGTAACTGGACAGATGTAGCACACTGGTCACTTCTGTTACAAGATCACACACACACTTACAAAATGCTGTGATTTTGCCTTGTAAAATGTTAATAAAACAAGACTTTACAAAAGTAGTCGAGCTCCATTTATTTATTACAAGTTGTCACGGACTGCCAGTGACTCCCCATCCCCCGCCATATCCCTCCACCCCTCCCTTCCCCGTTGCACATTCCGATGTCTGTGGAGCTTCCATGGACAGGGCTAGGCCAGCCGTTACGAGGCAACCTAGCTGCGTCCCACATGGTTTTCAAAAGACCTGCACAGGAAGCAGCCCTCCTCTCTGTTCCTGTCCATGCTGCTGGAATCATCTTGCTCCCAGAAAGATGCTGGGAAGCTCGGGTGAGGGGGACCGAGCCTCCCAAGCCATCCCCCCTGCGCACTCTGCGGACCCCCAAAAGGTCAGGACCGTAACCCTCTGCAATACCCCAGGGTTGGGAGTCTCCACAGCTCTGCATGAGCTTTCCCCTCAAAGGTCAGACCCCACAGCTGAGACCCTGCCAGCCTGTCTACTGAGCACTCCTGCACCCTGTCCACTGCTGAGTGCCCTGAGAGCAGCTGCTGCTGCGGGGCCCTGCACGCTGTCCATGGCTGCGCGTCCCTGGAAGCTGTCTGCTGCGGAGTGCCCTGGAGGCTGCTGCTGAGGGACCCTGCACACTGTCCGTGGCTGCGTGTCCCTGGAAGCCGTCCACTGTTGAGTGCCCGGGGAGCTGCTGCTGTCTGCTCATCGCTGGTTGTCCCTGGAACGCTGACTGCTGGTCGTCCCTGTCTGGAGCCGCCTGCCGCTGAGGGTCTGCAAGCCGCTTACCGCGAGTGTCCCGAACGGCCCCTGCTGTGCGCACCGACCACCCGTGTCTCGAACTGACCCAGCCGTGCACACCGACCACCCGTGTCCCTAACTGCCCCCGCCGTGCGCGCCAACCACCCGTGTCCAGAACTGTCCCTGCTGTGCGCGCCAACCACCTGGGTTATGCACTGCCCTACTACACGCCTAGACTACCCTTACTTGAACCGCCCCATGGCGTGCCCAGAGTATAGCTTACCTGTGGTGCCCGAGTGCTTGAGCCATCGCTACCCGTTGAGTCCCCGTGAACCCAATGGCTGGGTGGGAGCTGTGCTGGGGCCAGACTCCACAGCTAGAGTCCCGTTGAGTGCCCGAGGCCCCAGCCCAGTGGGGGGTTGCCCGCCTGTTGCCAGAGGCCCCTGCCCAGGGGTAGGTTGCCCGCCTGTTGCCAGAGGCCCCTGCCCAGGGGTAGGTTGCCCGCCTGTTGCCAGAGGCCCCTGCCCAGGGGTAGGTTGCCCAAGTCCAGTCACGGAGGGAGCTCGGCTGAGGCCCCAAGCCTAGGGGGGAGATTGCCTGCCAGTCACCGAAGACCCCCCGTGCCTGGAATCATCCCTGGTTTGCGCACACATCACCCTCCCTGCCATTTCCCCATTGAGTGTCATTTTGTTGCTTCGATAAAGCTGTGTGTTCCCCATCCTCTCCGTGTGTTATGTCCTACCTACGCTTCCGTTACACAGGAATTTATATAGCTCCATCAATTTACACATATTGTACATTCACATCAGTCCCTAACCCTCAAATGGCGTACAATCTAAAGTCCCTGACTTGCATTTATACATACACATACTAGGGCCTGTTAGGGAAGGCCTGCCCATAGTGCAGGTGACGTTCCAAGGTGCACAAATATGCGGGCATGCACCTGTCAATGCTGGCACCAAAAGGGCTATTTAACCACTAGCCTACAGGGCACTTATACCCCCTTCCTGTCCAGGCCAATTTCCAGCTTTCAGTGCGGTCATGCTGTTTGAATGACAATTGCACGGTCATGCAACACTGTACCCATATGAAATTTTTATAATTTTTTGTGACAGATAGAGCTTTATTTTGGTGGTATTTAATCACCTCTGGGTTTTTTTTTTTTATTTTTTCTTAAACCAAAAACCACAGAAAATTTTGGAAAAAAAAAAAAAAAAAAAAAAAAAGTTTGTTATAAAATTTTGTAAATAAGGGATTTTTCTCCTTCTCGGATGTGCGCTAATGAGGCTGTAGTGATGGGCACTGATGGACCCCACCGTGCCCCCGCTGTCTCACCATCAGAGTCCTTGAGTTGTACGGAAAGCCTGCCTCTTCACGTCAGACTCACTATCCAGGTACGTGACAGGGCCAATTTAGACAGGAGCCAAATAACTATCAGCATGTCTTTGCAGTGTAGGAGGGAACCAGAGGAAACACGCAGGCACAGGGAGAAAATGCAAACTCCAGGCAGGTAGTGCCGTGGTTGGGATTCGAACCAACAAACCGCCTAAAGTGTGCTTTGATACCCATTCTCAGGCTACAGTAACTGCAGGGGATTAAGCTGGTGGTACAGGTTGGGCTATTTTTGCCATTCACCACTTAGAGATAAACCTTTTTATATATTTAGCTTGTGCTTTTTTTGTGCAGCACTTCACTCTCTCACCAAGGAGAGAATGACGTTTGTCTGCAATTCTGGCCAGGGGGCTTTGGGTCCTGGCAAAGCCCTCCAGCACATCTGTGCATGCACCAGACTTAAAAAGCAATTCAATATTGCAAATTAGATTTTTAAATGGTTAGTTTCAGTTCAAAGAGAAAAAAAAAAAAAAAAAAAAAAAAGTAGTCTCAGCACTGTGCACAGACTATTTTGATTTCTTTCTCCAGCAGGATGCCATACTGAGACCTTGTCAAACCAGGTAATGTAGGCACTGAGATCGCACTAGAACATAGTTCTGAATTGCAGACTTTAAAGAAAGCATGCTTAACAGGATGCCTGCTGAAACATGGTGCTCATCTTTTTACTATAGCGAGCCATTTCAAGTCAAGTGGTGGCATAAAAGCAAACCTGCATATATAAGCACACAAGGTTACAATCAAATGAAATGCCTAAAACAGTTCTCTAAACTGTGGCCCAGGGGCCCAATGTGGCCTTTGGCTTGCCTTTTTCTGGCCCTTGGAGCACTATGCCACCAACTGATGCCTTTGACGGGGCACCATCAATGGGGCACTCTACTTCCAATTGATACAAATGGGAATTCCTGCCACTCAAACAAAATGATAAAGCATTGTTTATGCCCATTGATGCCAGGACATTTTATACTACCACTGGTCACAGTCCGGCCCTCCTAACATCTAAAAAACAGTAAACTGGCCCTTTGCTTAGGAAGTTTGGAGATCCCTGGCCTAGAATAAACAAACCACATCTTAATGAATCTAGAAGGCCTAGACTACACTTATCAATTGTCGACCAAAAACTCCATAAATCCACACTAAACAGAACCATGTTCAGGATCTTCAGAACAGTACAGACCCAACTTCAGAAGCTTTATCCATCCTTAAAGTGATATTAATGGCAAACCAAAAAAAACCAAACATGTCATACCTTACCTGCTCAGTGGTTTTGCACAGAGCAGCCCCAATCCTCCTATCGTCAAGTCCTCCACTGGTGCTCCAGGTTCTTCCCTCCAAACTGCTTGCTATGGGGCATCTGAGTGGGCTCGCTCCTGATCCGCTGCCCTGTGTTACAAAGGGCAGTGGCTTGGCCCCCTCCCTTCTCATTGGCTCACTGGCTGTGGTTAACAGCTGGAGCCGGTGGCTCCTGCTGCTGTCTCAGCCAATGAGGGAAAGTCTGCGGAGAGCCGAGGCTCTTATGCACATTGCTGGATCGCGATGGGGCTCAGGTAAGTATTGGGGGAGCTGCACACAGACGGCTTACTTTTATGCGTAGAATTCATGAAGGTAAAAAGCCTCAAGTACCCAAGTGGGTTCGATCCCCAGCTGGCCTGTATACATCCATGGACGCACACTGCATGGCTTGGGCCCACCCCTCACATGATTTTACTAACAGCAGCAGGAGTAAATGGCTCTGCCGCCAATGTGCGACAATTACGTCAGTTTTAAAAACATGCTACGCTCGCCACTCATAGAAGCATGAGCGTTTTGGGCGACAAACACAGGGCAGCCCATGAACTGCCCTCAGTACAACACACAAAGCCGAGTGCAAATTACTCAACCAAAATCATAAGCGGGAACGCTTGTTCCCACTACACAAAAGTGAATGCGGCCTAAAGTCAGAGATCCGCCTCCACCTCTATTTCCCTAGGACTAAATTGGCAAAATAATTTTGGATATTTCTATAAAAACAGGCCCCTATCAGTGATGTGAACGTCCCCAATTACAGACTGATAATTGCTGTGGCTAGTGGGCCTGTTAAACATAATGGCCTGCATAAATGGCTCTTTTCTGCTTTACTGAATTATTTGCACACCAGTACAGTCATAACTTTAAAAACGCAGAGAATTTGCCCCATATGCTTGTGAATGGCAGAAGCCCATCAGAGTGGCCTGGTCACACCAAGTAGCATGTCTTCTAGCAGAGCTGGACAATTGTTTAATCTGGATAGTTTTAGGAATATTTGAATAATTACATGCACTGGTGTCTGTTGGTGCCAATAAATTCAGTTAAAAAGAAGAAACATTTACAGAATGAGCATATCTCTGAAGCCATTACATAAAATATACAATGCAGCTTTCTACAGATATGTTAAGGCATTTATGACAGATGTAATCTGAGATCTGGTAGCCCCACCCACACATTGCTGGGAATTTTTTTTTTGTTTCGAAGTTCAAAC